TACACATCTTTTCTAAAATCTGGGGAGAGGGGAGAGAAACTTTTCTTTCAAGCAAAACACTGTCATGCAACTCTAATTGTATAATCTGTTCTTCTGGCTTACTTAAACACAAAAATAATGATTAGTGCTGAAAGAGCACTTAAAGATAACATAATGCATCCTATTTTACAACTGACCAGAGATTATGTGGTTTGACAAATTTAATTGGCTGGTTACTAGCAGAACCAGGGTTAGCATCCATTCAACTTCCTTCTGTTTTTCTTTGAACAGCAGAAACATAGAAAGTACCTCCTAAAGGGGCACTGTATGCTGTGGTTGAGTGCAGGCTCTGATGTCAGATTACCTAAATTCAAACCTAACTCTGCCACTTATTAGCTTTGTGACCTTGGCCAAGTAATCTGAATACTCTATGTCTAAGTTTCCTCATCTACAAAATGGAAGGCATAATCGTATTTACTTCATAGAGTTGTTATAAGGATTAAACGAATTAATGTACTTAAAGCATATAAAAAGAGTGACCAGAAATCTAAGCTGTTGTTACTGTTTAGCGCATGCTTTGCTAGCTGTTGATGTAACAGAGATTAACAGAGGTTGGGATTTTACCCACAGCTGTTTATTTTGGTATGGAATTTAAGAAACCAAACCAAGCCAAACCAAACCAAAACCACACTTGAGATAATGTACACAAATCTGGTTATTTTACATAGAGATCTAAATTTTCAGTTTCTCTTGAAAATTGAAAGGTCAGACATCTCGGCCAGAATTCTAATTTAGTAACCATTGGCTGGAGCTAAAAGCAGCAGCTGCCCGCTTTGGTCCACATCACTCAAGTCATGTATGTTTATGTACTCACACCCTTCCAGTTTCCATCTTTTAACTTTGCCTGACTACTGCATGCCTTTGAAATTGCATCCCAGACTAAGATGATGCCTGCTCTCAAGGAACTGACAATCCAGTAGGTGAGATGTGTCTGCTAAATAATTCACAATACAGTGTAATAGAAATAAGTTGGGATGTACAAAGTACTGCAGTAGACTGAAAGAACACGAGTATGTACTGAATAGTGGAAGTGCTGCTGGTGATGTATGTTGTTAAGAAAGTGCCTTGAAAAAGAAAAGGAGTGGAAGAGGGTTGAAGAGAGAATAGGATGTGCAAAGACATTGAGATGGGAAAATTTGTGTGCTTAGCAACTGAGGAGTTGTTTTGAAGAATATAGAAAGCAGGGGAGACTAGGCTGATACTAGATAATAAAGGCCCCTTAGTTTGGATTTTACCCTGTAGGAAGTGGATAGCCCTTGAAATGTTTTCTGTCACTAAATTCTAAGTCTAACTTTAATTCAGTTGTGCCTGGATACCCTTACCACCTTCCATCAAATGTCTTTGGACTTCGTGTTTGGGAAGGAAATGCTGTACAGTCTACAATATTCAATGAAATATCTTTCAATAGCAAATTGCCACCTCGAGATGAAGCCCTATCTTTTTAATGGATAAAATAGTTTTTAGATTTGTCTTCATTGAAGTTTTGTCATCTGTATGATTTTTATATTTATTACGTCTTCCTTGTGTATCATCCCTCTCACTGAGAAACATAACATTTCATTAAGTTAATATGTATTTTTCATTTAAATGTTATTCTGGTGGCATCTACCGGCGGCACCTTCTGGCGGCACTTGGCATATATGCAAAAAATACTAGGTGAAATGCCAAGATAAAACTTCCTTTTATATTATCGATTGCAAAAATTTCAAGAACAATGTAGAGATTTTTGTGTAACATAGAAAGTGCAAGTTGTCGTCTCTAGTTACTAATTCAACATAATAGTTTATTTGTGGTAATAAAGGTGCCTAGGTAACAGAGACGTTTCTCCACTTCCCGCAAGCTCAAAGGGGAAAAACAGGCAAAAGACTTTCATATCTGACAGTAACATCTTGGATAGCCAGGGAGCTCAATCACTTGGCGGGAAAAGAATAAATACAGACTAAATTCGCACAATCTTTTTCTGTTTAGTTTATAAACTGTGGTCGAGTCTGTCAGCCTTCGTGCTTTGTGGGACTTGAAGTCCAGAGGCAAGAAGTGATCCGGACTGTTGAAGCTTGGAAGCCGGCAGCCCCTGCAGGTCTGAGCGGTAAAGACTACAACTCCCGACAGACACCGCAAGGCCCCGCGGTGATTACGGGCAACCAACCATACCAGAGCTGGGCAAGCCCCGCCCCCTGGCTGGGAGGGCTACTTCCACCAATGGCAGAGCTCCCAGTGCAGAGCCTGCGGGTTAGGTTGTGAGGCTCCGGCCAGAGGCGGGGAGGAGCGGAGGGGTTCAGAACGAGCTCGGCCGCAGGGTGGGTCTGGGCGTCCCGCGCGCCCTTCGTTGAAGCGGCGGTGGCCGGGCTGGGCGCCGGCAGTGGAAAGCGACGGCGCGGCTGGAAAATGCCAGTCCATTCCCGAGGGGATAAGAAGGAGACAAACCATCACGATGAGATGGAGGTGGACTACGCCGAAAACGAGGGGAGCAGCTCCGAGGACGAGGACACAGAGAGCTCTTCCGTCTCCGAGGATGGAGATAGTTCAGGTGCGCAATCCAGCGGGGCTCGGACCCTGAGTCCTAGCGCTGGGCTCGCGACAGGCCGCTCTCCGCACGCCGGGCAGCTGCGTCCTGCTGGGAAAGCGGGGCGGGGAGAGAGAGAAGGGGCGGAGACTGGCTCCCGGCCCTCGGCTGCACCCGGACGGTCGCGGGGCGCTGCTTGGCCCCAGGCAGGTCCGGATTGGCGGGGCGGGACGGACGCGGGCCTGGGCTTGCCCAGCTCCGGGACGCTGCGCAGTCCTGCCGGTGGTCGGACCCGCCTTTGGGACCTCTGGGCGGTGCCCAGGGCTATCTACCAGAGTGGAGATTGCCCCCCAGCTTGTCCGGGAAGACCCTGGAAATAGCTTATCTCCCCACAGACCTCTTTCCTTGTTTTTCACCTTTGCAACCCTTGCTTCTCAACAGGGGTAGGGTGCCTGGGCAGAGTTTAGATTTGTACCGCATTTTTCCTGGCTTAGAATTTATTAACCTCAGCTTCCAAGTCGGCCCTGTTAATCAGCGCTTTGCCTCAGTCAATGCTCTTGCCGGGGCTGACTTGAGAACTGTCCTGTTTACAGCATCTGTGAAGTTTTTGAGAAGAATCTAAGATCAGAGATGATTTTGGATCTTCATATGCTAATACATTGGCTTAGTTTTGGCAGCTTTGAAATTCTCCAGATCTTTTCTTCCCGCAATCTTTTCTAACTTTGGGCTGTACAAGTGGTGGGTTTTGTTGTTGTTGTTTATTTTTACTCCTGAGGAAGGCCTGGGGTTGGGGAGGGGAAGCAGATTAATACTACAAATCAATTTTGCAAACTTTTAGGAATGATTTTTTAAAAAAAGAAATGGAATTTGCGATTACCTGGATTATTTTCTTTCTGTCCTTATGATGAGGATGAGACTTTTTCTTGGCTTGATTTTGGCCGTGTAAAGCAAGGATTGATACCAGTTTGATGACAGTCTGTTATCACCCTGACTCCCTCCCTCTTTTTAGGTTTCCCTTTGAATGCAAATCTGTATAGAAGTATGTAATTTCAATCAATAAATTAGCCATCCAAAAATAAGTATTTATGAGTGACTTCCTTGTGCAACACTGGGCACTAATTGTGTGAGGTATATATAAATAGTTATGATCTGATTGCAATTAAAGAGCTATCATAAGTCATCACTTGATTAAATTGCCAAAGGACTGCTTATCTATAAACAATGCTGTAGGAATTCAAAGGCAGAGGTAATCTTTTCAAAATAGGATAGTCAGCAAAGGCTAGTTGAAGAAGATGGGATTACTTTCATTATTTTGAAGAATAGGTAGAATTTGAATTGGAGTGGTAATGGTTAAGTGTTTCTATAAGGGGAGGAATGTAAGAAAAAGTGCAAAGGCCAGAGCTTAAGCTTATTCAAAAGAATGAGAAAACTAATTTGGTTGGGAGAAGGATTTGAGCTAGAAAATGAAAAGGAAGGTATAGATGCGAAATATTTTTTAAAAAGCACAAAACAGGATTGACGAATGCAAGTGTAGGAGTGAAGGTAAGAGGAAAAACCCAAATACAAGGAAACTGGTGGTAGGATGAACAAAAATAGAAAAAGATTTGAGATAAAGATGGAAAATACAGTGTTTCAGACATGTTTTTGAGGTGGTTGGTGGTGGTATATTTGAGTTAGAGTGCCTAAGTGACAGGTGGAAACATGGCATTGGAACCTGCCTTGGTTGAGAGGCATAATTTGGAAGTCTGGCAAGCCATGAAAGGCGAGATTTCAAAAGTGAGGTATACGGAGGAAGAACATTTAGACTCTATGTGAATACATTTTCTAGCTCTGGAAAATATCTTCAGCGGTTTTTTTTTTTTTTTTGATGGGAGCTAGAATATCACAAAATGACATCTATTTGTTAAAATTCTGTCTGATTTTCCTGTTTACTCTTGTGACTTTTCACTGGTTTTTATTTTATCCTTGAAAATCATGAACAACTTAATTTGTGAAGAATTTAATAATTGAACTATAAGTTAAATTTTTAAGTGCAAAGAAATTTTAAAAATAAAATTTACAGTTCTACTTCTTGTAAAAGCGTCTTGGCACTGACATTTGGTAAAAGTGCTCCAACCTTGGTACTGAGCAGGTTCTAAGGCTACCGGAAAAAACTCTTCCATCCAGAGATGTTGGAGAGTGAATCATCCTGAGGGACCAAGTTTTAAATGGCCAAGGAGTAAGCTATTAAGAGCCAGATATAATTTAAATCCGTTTTAGAAAAGTTAAAAAAAAAAGAATCACACTTCCTTATGAAAATAATGGAACTTTATTTAACTCTTTCTTGTAGTTTGACCTTTATTTGATGGGCATCAAGATGCAGATCATTTTATTCTTCAGCTATTTTGATGTAAAAATAGAAGATATGGAATATAGGGCAGACCTGGTTATTAACAGTTGCCTTCATAAAATTTACTTGTTTTTCTCTTCATTTTCCTCTTTCTCCCTGACTGACAGTAATTTGGGGAGAGGGAACAATGGGAGTGTAAGAGTAGGAGATAAGATATCTTGTAGTAAACATAGGAGATTAGTTTTCTTTTTTATATGACTGGCAAATCAGCCATGTGAGCAGTTCTGAAAAAAGAATTCCAAAAGTGTTTTTGAGCAATATTAGCCTTTAAAGGACATAATCATTTTGGTGCTTAAATTCTGGTGAGTTAGAAAAGAAACTAAAATATTAATTACAGTCATAGCTTAATGTCAGCCCTTTAAAATGACTTAAATATGAATAAAAGTAAGAATGTCTAGAGACTGCTATAGTTTTTTTCTTAAAATTATTTAAATTAGTTTCAAGAATACAATATATTGGTTAGACATCTATATAGTTCATAAAATGATCCCCCCAATTGCTCCCCCCCTCCTCTGGCCCTCCACCTAGCCATCATATTAATGCTAACTGCATTCCTTCTGCCCTGCTCCCCATCCCTGCGACCATCCATCAGCTGCTAATTTGTACTTCTTTAACCATTCACCCCATTTTCCCAGCCCCTCAACCCCCACCTCTGTTTATCACCAAATTGTCCAGTATATTTGTGAGTCTGTTTTGATTAGTCTGTTCTTTTTGTTCCTTAGATTCCACATATGAGTGAAATCATGTGGTATTTATCTTTCTCTGTCCGACTTATTTCATTGAGCATAATAACCTCTAGGTCCATCCATGTCGTTGCAAATGGTAGAATTTCATTTTTTTTAATGTCTGAGTAATATTACATTGTAGATATGAACCATAATTTCTTTATCCAATCATCTGTTGATGGGCATTTAGGTTGCTTCCATATCTTGGCAATTGTAAATTGTGCTGCCATGAATATTGGAGTGCATAGATCTTTACGAATTATTGTTTCGTTTTTCTTTGGATAAATATCCAGAAGTGTAATTGCTGGGTCAAAAGGTATATCCATTTTTAATTTTTTGAGAAACCGCCATACTGTTTTTCATAGTGGCTATACCAATTTGCAATCCCACCAACAATGTATGAGGGTTCCCTTTTCTCTACATCCTTGCCAACACTTGTTTTTTGATTTATTGATGATAGCCATTCTGACAGGTATGAGGTGATATCTCATTGTGCTTTCTATTTGCATTTCTCTGATGGTTATCGACTTTGAGCATCTTTTCATATGTCTATGAGCCATCTGTATTTCCTCTTTTGAGAAGTATCTGTTCGGGTCTTCTGCCCATTTTTTAATTGGATTGTTTGTATTTTTGTTGAGTTGTGTAAGTTCTTTATATATTTTGGATATTAACCCCTTATCAGGTGTGTCATTAGTGAATATCTTCTCCCAAATAGTCGATTGTCTTTTTGTCTTGTTGATGGTTTCCTTTGCTGTACAAAAACTTTTTAGTTTGATGTAGTCTCATTTGTTTATTTTTTCTTTTGTTTCCCTTGCCCAAGGAGATATATCTAGTAAGAAATTCCTGTTAGTAATATCAGAGAGTTTATTACCTATGTTTTCTCTAGAAGTTTTATGGTTTTGGGTCTTACGTGTAAGTCTCTAATCCATTTTGAGTCTGTTCTTGTACGTAGTGTAAGAAGGTGATCTAGATTCTTTTTTTTTTTTTTTGCATGTATCTGTCAAATTTTTCCAACACCATTTATTGAAGAGACTGTCTTTACCCCATTGTATATTCTAATCTCTTTTGTCATATATTAAGTGAGTGTATATTTATTTTAAGTGAGCATAAGTGAGCATAGATTTATTCTTGTGTGCTTTATTCTATTCCATTTATCAATATATCTGTTTTTATGCCAGTACCATGCTGTTTTGATTACTGTAGCCTTGTAGTATAGTTTGATATCAGGTAGTGTGATACCTCCAACTTTGTTCTTCTTTCTCAGGATTGCCGTGGCTATTTGGGTTTTTTTATGGCTCCATGTACATTTTAGGATTATTTGTTCTAGCTCTCTGAAAAATGCCATTGGTATTTTATAGGGATTGCACTGAATCTATAGATTGCTTTGGGTAGTATGGCCATTTTAACAATGTTGATTCTTCCTACCCATGAACAGGGTATATGCTTCCATTTATTTGTATCTTCTTCAATGTCTTTTTTCAATGACATAATTTTCTGAAAACAGGTCTTTTACCTTCTTGGTTAATTTGATTCCTAGGTATTTTATAGTTTTTGACTCAATTGTAAATGGGATTGTTTTCTTAATTTCTCTTTCTGAAAGTTCACCATTGGTATATAAAAATGCCACTGACTTCTGAATATTTATTTTGTAACCTGCTACTTTACTGGATTCATTGATCAGTTCTAACAGGTTTTTGGTGGACTCTTTAGGGTTCTCTATATATAATATCATGTCATCGGCAAATAATGAGAGTTTTACTTCTTCCTTTCCAATTCAGATACCTTTTATTTCTCTTTCTTGTCTTATTGCTGTGGCTAAGATTTCCAATACAGTGTTGAAGAGGAGTGCTGAAATGGGCATCCTTGTCTTGTTCTTGATCATAAGGAAGATGCCTTTAGCCTTTCTCCATTGAGTATGATGTTAGCTGTAGGCTTGTCATATATGGCTTTTATTATGTTGGGATGTGTTCCCTCTATTCCCACTTTGCTGAGAGTTTTTGTCATAAATGGATGCTAGATTTTGTCGAATGCTTTTTCTGCATCTATTGATATGCTCATATGGTTTTTATCTTTTGATTTGTTAATGTGGTGTATCACATTAATTGATTTGCGGATATTGTACCAACCTTGTGTCCCAGGAATAAATCCAACTTGATCATGTTGTATGATATTTTTAATGTAGTGCTGAATTTGGTTTGCTAATATTTTGTTGAGGATTTTTGCATGAATGTTCATAAGAGATGTCAGCCTATAGTTTTCTTTTTTTGTAATGTCTTTGTCTGGTTTTGGAATCAAGGAAATGGTGGCCTCATAAAAGGAGTAAGCCTTTCTTCTTGAATTTTTTGGAATAGTTTGAGAAGAATAGGTGATAAGACTGCTATAGTTTTAACTCTCATCTGTATTTTAGGTTAAAATCTAGAATGAAAATTATTTTGGATAAATGTTAATTTCTTTAAGGCTCAATATAGGCCTTGCATATCTAACTTCATATTACAAGTTTTTTCTTCTTTTTTTTTACCGTTTGAGTTAACATTCAGATATATTGGAACATAAAACTAATTTTGTCTTTGTTATTTGTCTTTTTATTAACAGAAATGGATGATGAAGACTGTGAAAGAAGAAGAATGGAATGTTTAGATGAAATGTCCAATCTTGAAAAACAGTTTACCGATCTCAAGGATCAGTAAGTAGTGACTTTAGAAGGTCATTGTCACTGAATCTCAATGATGTCACATGTATACTAGCACAAGAGAAATTATATTTACTCCGAACTGTTTTTTTTTTTTTTTTCGGAGTGTGTTTCATGAGATCGACGTACCTGAAAGAGATTTCAACTTTTTGCTTGCTGAAGACTTCATTAACTAAACTGAGGGTTTTGAGGCAGGTTTTTTGGGGAAAGTATAATAAGATTTCTATGTGGATGTTGTTAATTAAAATGTTTTCCCTGGAATATTGCACCCTCGAGTCTTATCTGTTTCATTCATTCCTTTGCTAAATAATTGGATAAAGATAGCATTTTTAAAATTTGAGAATAAGAGAAAATATGTTAGTTTTTCTTCTTGCAGCAACTCTGTAAGGTTGGAAGATAGTCTAATTTCCATTTTACCTGTGAAAAAATTGATGTTCAGAGAAGTTAAGTAATTTGCCCATAGTTCATCAGAAAGTGATAAATTAAGCAAGGCTTTCTGCCACCAAGTGCTGTCATGTTCCTTCCACAAAGACACATTACTTTGGAGGAAAGATAGGATTGAATAGGCAATATGTAAAATTCTTAGCCATTTGCTTGGCACCTAGTTGGTGCTTGTTAGATAGTTTTCCCCCTTCTTTATAATGCCAGAACTCTTCTGTAAAGTTCGTAACACGAGAATGGGCCACACTTATTTATGAGAACAGAATAGATTCAGATTAAAAACACCTTAAAGGTGAACTTTCTCTTTGAAACTTGCTGGCAAGGTCATGGGGCATAGCTGTATATCAGGAATTGTAAATGAAAAAAACTTCTGAAAATACAGATACCTTATTTTTTTCAGAAGCTGGCTCTTTAGTTTGTGATTTCTTCACAGTTTTGCTGCTTATTCTTTTTCTCCTACTTCTTCCCTAGAGAGGCCCAAAGAAGAGATGAAAACCCATTTAACATCTGGAATTGGCAGACTAAAATGGGACAAATTTGTTTACTGTATGAATCGTGCTGTTTATGCCGTTTTTGGTCTTAACTTTCATTTGTCTTGGAGATGAATATATAGACAATGTTCCATGCTAGTGCAACAAAATAAAATAAGCAATCCAAAATAATCCAAAGTTTACAATTTTGGCTATAAAAACATGGTATCTTTTTTTATTCTAAAGATTTTCATTATTAATTTTAAATTAAAGTGGGTTTGGATCCCTCAAAGAATTCATTATTTAGGAAACATGAAGAGTTCATTCAGGATCATTATGGAAAAGAGGAAGCAAAATTGTATTTTTGTATTTTAGCACAAGTAATTCATGAATGAATAAATAATTATACAATTAATTAAGATATACCTGTTGGCTTTTAAACTTTATTTTATGGTTATCCAAAAAATGAAAATTACTGTAAAGCTCTACTATAATATATTACATGGGAAAACTTTGCAACCATTCAAGTCGTTAAGCCTAATCTTACTCATCTTGGGGCTGGCAGTTGCCTTGATTTTTGCTTTCTCATGGCTCAATATGACCATCAGCCAATTACCCCACCAGCTTCATTCATCTCTGAAAGTATTAAAATTAGGCCCTTTACTAGAATTAGTATCTAGAAATATGTTATAAAAAAAAATTAATCTTTGCATCTGGTTTATAATTATCTTATTTTTTTGTCTTGCCCTAATTCTCATGTTTGTTATTTTTATCCTGTTATACTGTATATCTCTGTAAGAGATCTTAAATCCTCTTTAGAAGAGGTGGGAAATATACTAATATAAAAATAATAATGACAGTAATAATATAATATAATTATCTTGCTTCTCCTGTTCTATCACCGCAAGGCTTAGTAACTCCTTTCATAAGGCAGAAAATTTACCATTTGCAGTTTGTATAGGGGTGGAAGGTGAGTTCTTCTACTTCCTTAAAAAGAGAAGTGGAAATTATATCATCCAAGTTTCCATTTATTTCACTATTCAATATACAACAAACATTAACTGAGCACCTACTCTGTGAATAGTATTATGGATACTGCTGAGAGACTCATGATCTTTACCTTTAATGAGTTTATATTTGAATTCCAAGGTTGTAGGAATTATACCAGTTTTGGGGAATCTATTCTTTTAAAAGGGTAGTTAATTGACTATTGTTAATTCGCATATCCTCTTCATTCAAGATGCTGTTCACCTATTCGGGATACCTTATCGATGTTTTGTGTAAGTTTGATGTTTTCAGGTGCAGTCATCCTTTTATCACATTTTTAGCATTTTACCTAAAGTTATACAGTAAGTTCTCACTTAACAGTGTTAATAGGTGCTTCAACTTTAAGTGAAACAACGTATAATGAAACCAATTTTACCATAGGCTAATTGACATAAACAAGAGTTAACTTCCTATGGCATCTCATCGACATTGTAATAAAATGACATTGAACGAAACTGTCATTTGAGGACCTGCTGTATTTGTAATTTCAAAAAACTATATCATGTACTTTTCTGACTTTACACATTTCTTTATCATTGTATTTTGAGTTTTATAAAAATTTAACCCAGACATGATAATGTACTGTTTTGGCAGTTAACTCAGATAATTTTTTCCCTTTCTGTTTTTTTTTTTTTAAAGAATATTTATTTTATTAACATAAAAACTTGCTTTATTCCTTCAGAATCATCATATAGATCTTTGTGCTAATTATAACGGTCAGTTGTAGACAACATTGATTGTCTTCATTTTATTGCTTTATATTTTCAAGAGGAAAAAGCAGAAATTTGTATGAAAGCCAGGTACTAATTAAGCCAACTGCTAATTAACTAACCTACAAGCTTAATCATTGGTTTCTGTTGTAAGTTACTACATGCCATTCATGTGACATATTATGACATATTCTTCATCTATGATAAAAGCAGTAAATGGCAAAAAAAAAAAAAAGAATTTACAAAATGATCTTAAATTGTTAATCGCTTTGAAAATTTTAGGATATCCTTAAAATCCTGCAAAATCAGAATTAGAAGTACCTTTCATAAAGACTGATGATATAAACATTTTCCTATTAAAAAGAATTCTATCCTGCAGAATTATTGCCAAAAGTAAATATTGAGTTGTCTCACGTACCCTTTCTTTGATAATCAAGCTAAACATTGGTATGATAGCTGGCAAATTAGGGTATTTGTTTGTGGACTCAGAAATATGGCAACAGGGATCCCCTATCCCATTTTTCATTCCCCATCCATCCAACAACTCATTTTGCTATAGCATTTTCAGTTGCAGTCCAGGTGAATCGCATATGCCAGATCACAAGTGATACAGTTTTTCTATTTTCTGTAGTAGTTCTATTGGTTTTATCTCCATGACTCTACTTCTTCTTTGTTCTTTTTAAAAATCAACTAGGCTAAATATTGTAGTACTCACTTGTTTTCAGGAATGGTGGAGAGAAGCCAGGGAATTATTTATTTTGACGACTAGTAATTGTTCAAAATGATTTTTTGTTTCTTTTAAATTCAGTGCTTAAATGACCTTTTCTTTTAGAATCAGTCTATTGTTCTGCAGTTAAAATAAAAAATCTAGAGTACCAAAAAGTAGTTACTTCAGTTTTGTTTTTGTATTGTGAGTTAACTATTAATATGTGATATATCTAAAAAAAGATAGAAAAATATTTATTTTGTAATTATGTACGTGAAGTCAGATAATGTAATTTTAAACTTGAGAGCCAAGCAAAAATACATTTGGTAGGTTTTAGAATATGAATGATTTTAGGAAGAGAATGTATGGAAATGGTAAATTGTTAGCCTTGGTTGGGCTTTTAAAATTAATATTTTAATTTTTGCTTTGTTAAGACTTTATAAAGAACGATTAAGTCAGGTGGATGCAAAACTACAAGAAGTCATAGCTGGAAAAGCACCAGAATATTTGGAACCACTGGCAACTTTACAAGAAAATATGCAAATTCGTACAAAGGTAGCAGGTAGGAAAGTGAAACATCTTTTTTATATAGTAGAATATGAACTCTTCAATAGGTTTCAAAGGTGTTTGTCAAGTGAGTTGTTAATGGAATTACACACATATTTAGACTGACCAGAGTGTTTCACTTTCAGTCGGCCCACAGTTACTTATTAAATGCCTCTTGCTTTTCTTTGCTGCTGTGGGATCAAAAAAAAAGTCCTCAAATTACTCACAGTGTTGTTGAGAGGTTACTTCCACAAGTGAAATGATTAGAAACCATGATATTTCCATTAAGAGATAGTGTTACTATCAATTTAATTTCGTATTAGGTAAATTAAGGTTCAATTTAAGTATCCTAAGTATTTTTCATCTGTAAGAGTGATAAGGATTTTATTTATTTATAAAAATATTTAAAAGTGTTTGATCAAGATATATAGAACAGGGAATTAGCCTTCAACCAGATAACTTAATGATAATTTTTAATTTTGATAAGATCGTTTACTCATTTGTGGCTATGAATAAATGTACTTACATTCATATGGTTAAATTTCAGTCTTCTGTTCGTAACTGGAATCTAGCTTCAGACTTGGATCTTAGCATTCGTAACAAGGGATATGTTTATTTAAAGATCACTTAACAGTTTTTCATAGTCAAACTAAAAACTGAATTTTAATTAATGGAGATGCTGATTGTTTTTGGGGGGGGCGGGGAGGCACTAATTGATCCTCATGTGCTTGTTGATAGGCATTGTTGATAAATAGTTTCTTTTGTAATAAACCCACCTTAATCCAAATTTTATTCTTGAGTGCTTAATAGTAAGTGTATATGATGTGATACTTAACCTGCTGTTTTTGCATATTGGTTTAACACACCCTTAAAAGTAAACATGTCCATAATTTTCTTTGACATTCTGAAAGAACTAAGTGAGACTTACTGGATGTTTAGGAAATATTACATGAATCAGTTGCTCATTTTTCTACTCTGTGGCCTTTCTTTAGTTTTTGATTATATAAAAAGTAGGATGTGTGCATGTGTTGCTAATGGCGTTGTTCCAGATATCTGTCCCTTGCCTTTAACATATGAGAAAGAATTACATTTCTAGGGCCAACTGTGACACAGAGTTTAGTATATACGTCTAGAGCTCTTTGCCATTTTTTTGGTGGCATATTTGCATGGCCTGTTGCCTTAATACTTCTAAGTTAAACTCTCTTGAGCATCCATCCTCTAGCCCTGTCAGGAGCACTCAGACATAGATTTTGTTATATACATTTGTTTCTCTTGGAAGCTTTGGACTTCGAAAATAAATAACAGTTTAAAAATAGTGGTTTTTTGATGGCTATGGTATCCACTTGTTACTTCGAGTGTATATAATTAATGAAACCAGAGTTTATTGACTCTTTCCATTGTGAGTCCTCAAATTATTTTTCTTAGGAAAAGAGTTATTTTTATTTCAATTATTATCTATGAAATATTTAGGATTATTCTTTTGAAAAATGGGATAAGCACTAAAATTTACAGTATAGTTTCTTTCTAGCTCTTAAAGTCAGTTTTCTAATCTTCTTTGATACATACTTTATTTTTAGATTTTAAAGATAAAATTAGAATCACTTGTCAATTTCTTCTTGATTCATCTTATAAAACACAGGACAATTCCTGTAGGGAAGTGATGATGAAACTCCTTATTGCTAACATAATCAGAATAATTGTGTTTGGTTGCAGGAATCTATAGAGAGCTCTGCTTAGAATCTGTAAAGAACAAATATGAATGTGAAATTCAAGCTTCTCGTCAGCATTGTGAGGTACTGTTATTTTGCTTAACTTTTAAGCTAATTTCATCTCTTTAGGACTTTTGAGTGCAGAAGTTAAAAAAGTGAATAAAATAAGTAAAACGAAAATTAAATAAATAGTACTTTAGTTCATTACTTGTATGATTTTTTAAAAAATACAGTTGCACTGGAAGCTGTATTGGAAATAGGACACAAAGAAAGGACCATAGAACTGAGATAATTTTAGAAGTTTTGCAGCTGTTCCCTTAAAAAGACTTTGTAATGATTGTCATCTGGCATCAATGAAAATATTAGTATAATTGGTATAATATGCAAATTAAGACTCAAATATGCATATCTGTAGTATAGTTAGAATGTTGGACTATATTATGAATTTCTGACTCTCTACATCTATTTCCAAATCTTGGGGTAGAATTCCCTATTTACATGAAAAAATAGATTTACTTTTCTATATGTTCTTTTTATTTTGAATAGGATTTAAAAAACATATTGTTAATTTTGCAGATAACTTCATAAAACTTAGACAATACTAGTGGAAATAAGAGGGCAAGTTCTATAATGATTCTTATACCGTATCTTAAAAATCATGAAAATACTAAGAGTAAATAGGTATAAAAATGGTAGAGCTTCTTGTTTCATTTTTTTAATTACACCTGAAATGAAACAGTTTTTTGATGTTTACTGGCTGCTTAGATTTTCTTTCCTAAGAAGTATCTATTTATCTTTTCCTTTTATATTGGGTTGTTAGTCTTTCCCTCATTGATTGTGGAGATTCTTCATATATTCTGGATATTAATGCCTCGCTGGTTATATGTTATGGAGATATTTTTACCCAAACAGTCTTTTTATCATCACGCCTTGTTTACTCTTTGAAGATTTGATGAACAGAAGTTTTACATTCTAATGTAGTTGAATTTATCACCTTTCCTTTATGATTTGTGCTTTTTGTATCTTCGCAACTCTGAGACAAAAGGATGTATTTTCCTTTAAAAGTTGGAATTTAATATACCTTAATGATATTAAAAATTTATAGATGGAAAAAAAGTCAAAATTTTGCTTTTTGACATTTAGATTGCTAAACTACCTTTAATTACTTTTTATGTGTAATATAAAGTTTTTTGCATATAGGTAGGTAATTTCAACACTCTTACATACTCCATTGTTTTCTCACTAATTAGCAATTGTAACTCTTTTTTTTTTTTTTTTTAATCAGATTTCCATATTTTTGTTGGCTGGTTTCTTTTTTTTTTTTTTTTAATCAGATTTCCATATATATGTTGGCTGGTTTCTAGCTTTTTTCTTTTGTTCTTTTGGTCTGTTTGGCTATTTCTGCACCGGTATCACAATATCTCTTTTACAGCTTTTAGTCTAGGAAGCCTTGATAACTAAATAACATGATAATTTTATCTTGTTCTTTTTTTTCTCACAGTTGTTATTGTTAAAATTTTTTTTGTTTGGTAATATCTTTTTAAAAATTACTTTTTATGTTGTCATATAGAAAAATAATCTTGTGTATTGATGTTATATACAACCTTATTTACCTCTCTCCTTAATTCTAATAATTTGATTACAGGTCCTTAGATTTTCCATGTAGATAAATGTTGTTTGTGAATAATGGCAGTTTGTTTCTTCCACTCTGATCTTCCTTTTATTTGTTTTACTTGTCCTGCTGGCACTAATAGGACCTTCAGTATAGCATGAGATGGAAGCAGTGAAAGCAGATTGTCATGATGTTCTTGATTTTAAGGGAATGCTTCTAACAGTTTTCCAATAAGTATGATATCTAGTGTTGGGTTTTAGTAAATATTCTTTTTATCAAGTTAAGGAAATTTACTTTTATTTCTTGTTTTCTAAGAATTTTTACCATGAATAGTTGTTAGATTTTATTAAATGCCTTGTCTGTATCTATAGAATTAGTCATGGCTTTTTGATTTTAATACATTGACATGGTGACTTACATTATTAATAGATTTTCTAATGTTAAACCATCCTTGGATTCGTGGAATGATTTTTTTTTGTATGTATTACCAGATTCAGTTTTCTCACGTTCTGCGTCAGAGCTTCATTCTTATGTTTATAAGTGAGTTTTACCTTTTATTTCTCATTTCAAGATTTATAAAATGAGTTAGGAATAGTCCATATTTTTCTCTTGCATAGAAGTATATATTTAAAATTGCAATCATCAGTTCCGTCAGTGCTTTAATAGATCTTGATTTTATAATATATATTTTTTAACAGCCTCATACTCATAGAAAAAATTGCAAGAAAGCACAAAGAACTTTTTCGGTGAACATGAAAATGAGTTGACAACATGATGCGTCACCACTCCTGAATACTGTAATGTATACTTCAGTCAAATGAGGGACGTTTTCTTAAATAACTACACTACAATCATCAAAATCAGGAAATGTACATTGATATATTACTATCTTCTAATCGTCAGACTCCATTTAAATTATGCAGTTGTCCCAGTAGCACCCTTCATAGCAAAGAGCCATGATTAGTTATTTTGTAGAATGTTCCTCAGTTTCGAATTGGTCTGCTATTTTTTCATGGTTAGAGTCAGATTTTGCATCTTTGATAGGAATATCACAGTGATATGGTGAATTCTATCAGGCAGCTCACAATTTTGAATGTACCAATATTGGTGATGTGCATTTTGATCACTTGTTTTAGTGGTGTCTTCTAGGTTTCTCTGAACTTACTTTTTTTCTCGTGCTTTCTGAACCTAGGAGTTTGTTTTCTATTAATTCTGGAAATTTCTCAGCTATTTCCAGTATTGCCTCTCACTCATTTTCTTTACTTCCTTCTTCTGGAACTCTAATTAGTTGTATGTAAGTCTCATTCTATCTTCCATATCACTTAATACTTAATTCATATTTTTTATTCAGTACATCGTTTTCTGAAGTTCTTCAGAGTCTAATTATGCTGTGTTTTTATTTTTTCCAAACTTCACAGCTTATTTTCTTATTTCATGATACTGGACTGTAGCACAGGCTTGTAATGAAAAATAGTAGTCCCCTCTCCAACGTCTAAATTCTGCATCCTAGTGACAATTATCTAACTCTTAGCTACTGCTTCTGGAATTTAACCTTATATTTCTAAATAACATCAGTTTTAGACATTATCTGTTGGTTTTTTTTATTATGGAAGCTGAAGCTTCTATAATAGTTTCCCTCATCCCATTCTTCTAATATTGTTATGCTACAATTTTTGTTTTCATTGTAACTGTAAATGTTGCTCACTGAGCCAAGAGTTATACTATGCTTACACTTCTCTTTGAATTAATTATTGTTTATTAGTTCTCTCTGTATTTATAAATTTAGTGTTTATTAATTCTCTGTGTATTTATCAGTTCTTTCCAGAGATTCGAGTAGATCTGGGAATGTCCCTACTGCTGTTCTCCATGTGATTGAATGTGTTGGGTAATCCACAAGTTCTGTTTCTTTGGGTCTCCTTTCTGGGAGCAACTACTCCACTCCTGGATCCCCTTTCCTCCCACTTCATTCTGCTCCATCCTTCAGATGTTTTCTAGGCCAACTGCATCTCTTTAGTCATGGTGTATCTCTTCACTATCACCCTGAAAATTCCCTTTAACTCTTTCCTGCTAGACCTTGTTTTCTTTTTTAAATTCGATAGAGTGGATTCCTGAGAAAAGGTGAGTAGAAGTCAGGTTTTTGAGACTTCTTGTATTGGTTGTCTATTACTCTGTAATAAATTACTCCAAAACTTTTATTATTTTGTAGTCTTTGTGGCTAAGAATTTGGGAGCTACTTAGCTAGGTGGTTCTGGCCTAGAGAATCACATGAAGTTGCAGTGAAGAGGTCAGCCAAAGAAGCAGTTATCTGAAAGCTTGACTGGGGCCTGAAGGATCTGCTTCCAAGGCGATTCACTCACCTGGCTGGTAAATTGTTGCTGGTTGTTGATTGGAAGCCTTAGTCCCATGGGCCTCTCTACAGGCTGATTGAGGGCCTCCATTACCTGGTGACTGGCTTTTCCCAGAGTGAGTGGTCCAAGAGAGTAAGGCAGAAGTGACAGTGTTTTTCTGTGACCTAGATTTCCGCTACATTCTATTCATTGGAAGTGAGTCATTAAGTCTTTCCTCTCCTCTCATGAGGCGAGGAACTAGGCTCTGCCTTTTGAAGGTAGGAGCATCACAGATTTATTGGACTTGTTTTAAAACCTCCACATCTTTCATGTCCAAAAACAACTGTACTCTCAAACTTGAGTGTAGACTTCTAGATGGTAATTGTGTTTCTCAGAATTTTGAAGGCATTGTTCCATTGTTTTTAGCTTCCAGTATTGTTTATGAGATGGTAATTGTGTTTCTCAGAATTTTGAAGGCATTGTTCCATTGTTTTTTGCTTCCAGTATTGTTTATGAGAAGCCTCTTATCATTTTGATTCCTGATACTTTGTATGTTTTCTTCCTGAATATCTTTAAGAACTTTATCCTTGATGCTATGGAATAGCAAGATGCTGTGCCTTGGTTGGTCTCTTTTCATTCATTGTGATGGATACACAGAGGTACCTTTTAACCAGGAAGTTCATTTCTTCAGTTCTGAGAATTTTCTTAAATTGTTTCTTTGATATCTTCTTCTCCATCATTTTCTGTTTTTGGAACTCTTATTGGTTGGATGCTGGACCTCTAAGATTGATCTTTGAATATGGTTATATTTTCGTTTCTATTGTCCCTTTCTCCCTCCCTCCTTACTTACTTTGTTCGAGTGTATTCAACTTTCTGTTCCAATTCTATTACTGATTACTTTATTTCTATTATATATTTAATTTCCAAGAGCTTTTATGTCCTATGATTACTCATTTTTTTTATAACAACTTGCTCTTTTTTCATGAGTGTAATCTCTTTTCTGTATGGGTATTAAATATAGTTACTTTGAAAATTTTTTCTGTGTCTTGTCTTTATACTTTTCTGCTTGTTTTTTTCTCTGCCTTTCATTTTGAAGGCTTTTCGCAAATAACTAGTCATTTTTAGCCATCATTCATGTTTGAGAGGGGGTCAGTAAAAATCTGCCTGTGTGCAAACTTATCAGCTGCTGAGTTCTAGAAGTTTTTACTTTAAGAATGTTTTCAACTTTTACTTGTGAGCGTAATGTGGTAAAAAGGGCTTTTTGCTCTCCAGGCCTTTCGTGTATTTTCCCTTAGACTGCCTATCCAGATTCTCCTTCATTTCTTTTTAGATTTGGAAGTAGTACTCAGACTTTTCAGAATATTGCCCCTTTCACTCACATTTTTATTTACAAAGAGCACACTTGTATATATTATGCATGGTACAGATCTTGGGTTCTATCTCAGTTTCATTACCATATTCAGAGATTATGGCATGAAATTTGTCCCTCTTTTTGTTTGATAACGTGTTTGCTGATTTATTTTGTACATATTTTTTGTACATTTCATGAGGTCTTGGGGAAGAGAGTTTGTGATCTAGGTTTATTTGCAGTCTTATCCTAGAAGTCTCTCCCTACATTTCGCATTCTGAATTTTTAGTGTCTGTAGAGCAGTAATATGGATGTCTAATAATTTAGGTAGCCAATACTCATTGATTAGATTTTACTTTGTTCCTAATTTTATGTATTGCAAGTACTGCTATTATGAGCATCCTTTTACATATAACTTTGATTGAGTTTATTTCCTTAGAATAGAATCTCAAAGTGTAATTACTTACGTCAAAGGATACAATCATTAAGATCCTTAATACTTGCTTCTAAATTGCTTTCCAAAGTATTAGGTCAGTTTATATACTCAATATCAGTCAACATAGTGGATTATAATTGAAAAAAAAAACTAAGTTTGCTAAGTGAAAAATAATATCACATAATGCACATTTTAATTTGCATTTGTGTTTTCTTTCCCTCCCTTCCCCTCTCTCCCTCTCTCCTTCTCTCCTTCCCTCCCTCCCTCCGTTTCTCTGTCTCTCTCATTTTGGCCTGTTTTAGTATTGTGGGATAGGCAACATTTAGATTTTCTTACTGAGTTATCTGTGATTGTTTAATGGCATCTTTTATGGTTTTTGAACTTTTATCATGTTATAGGCTTTTTGTATTGCCTTCCTTTTTACTTTTGTTTGCTTTTTAATGTGATTTGAATTTTTAGGTGATTAAATATATTAGTCTTTTACTTAATGGTTTTTCCTAACTTTTTATACTTTAAAAGGCTTCCTTTATTCCATCTTTCATTTAGTTCTTTTAGATTCCATTTTGTAAATTTAACTCTTTAGTCCATTTATTTATATGTATAATGTGAGACAAAGAATCTTGAGCTTTTTCTCTATGTAGTTAAACTCATTTTTCCGTTATTTATTATCATCAGATTTCCAGATGATTTGACAAGTCACCTTTATCATGTACTGAAATTTCCGACAACCAGAGTTTCTTAGCTTTTAAGTTATTTTCTGCTTATCTTTTTATTCTAGTGCAGTTCGCTTTTAAAAAATGATGATAACCTGATAATAACATTTCACTTTCTGGTAATGCTAGTCCTTCAGAATCTCTCAGGACTCCAGTCCTGAAGGGAGTTGAGAACTGCGAGGTGCCTTATGTCAGGAAACTGCCAAAGGGAACTTGGTTCTGAACACAGGTCAGGGTGAGACCAGTACAAAAACGGAACCTTGGAGCCACTATCCTGGGTTCCTTGAAGCTGACCTGATGAGAAACTGCAAAGGTGTCAGCCTGGGAAAGGGCTCAGTGAGGAGGTTCACTCAGTCTAGGCATAGAGATTGGAGGGATGTGGGGTCTTAGTGCCAAATATATAATTATATAATACTTTTAAAGGCTAAATTGCCTGTTGAACATAGAAGCCTCCACATTGGTCCCCAACCTTTTTGGCACCAGGGGACTGGTGTTCTTATTATGAGAATCTAATGCCTGATGATCTGAGGTGGAGCTGAGGCTGTGATGCTAGCGCTGGGGAGCAACAGGCCACTGACCTGTATGAGTCCGCGGCCCAGGGATTGGGAGTCTCTGCACAGGCATTAAAGCAAGGGAGTTTGGATGCCCCTTTCTTTTTCAGGTGTCCTCTGGCTGCTCTATTATTACATTTTTTTTTCTCTTAAGGAAACCTTTTGAGGGTCTTCTGGGTTGGGGATGAGGGAGAGAAGAACAAAGAAATAAAAATGAAATTAGATTCAAGTCAATTCTGTCTGTATACTTTAAAGCACATCTATAGTATCTTTAGAGATGCCTTCAAAGCTTCCGACATTTCAGTTCCATTGTGGCTTTTTTTTTATTATAAAGAATGATTAGTGGATTTATTTTAGAATTTCTGCTTGCCTGAGGGCAAATTTATCAATAGAAAGGAGAGAACACACCAGTTAAACTATCACAAGTCTTAAGCAAAAGTCTTACCACTCCAGTTCTATATTCAGTCGTCTTTGGTTGGAGACTCTGGATCTATTTATAGCTGTCACCCTGTCTTGACAGTGGTGAGGGCCTGCTCTCCCATTTTCTCTGACACTTAACATTTCGCAATTCTTGTAGCACAAAGTAGATACGGCTGGAATATTTCATAAGACTTTACCAAAGGCAGGGAACAAATTAAAGGAAGTAGGCATAGAGAGTAGCCTGCTATGAGGTCATTTTGCATATGAAATCTAGTTTTAGTCTTGTTTAGCTTTGCTTTATCTCTAGCTCATGGCTTGCTGCCATGAGCTAGACAAATTGACAAAAGTCACCTTCTTTTCCCTGCCACTCGAGAACCTTGAAGTGTATGTAGACTAAATTTCAAACCCAAAAGAGAGAACTTTATGATCAACACTGGGAATGCTGCCTACATGAGTGTGGCCTATGCCTTATACAAAAAAAATCATGTCTAACTATTCCAGTAGCCTCTACAAGACAGTCTTATCTAGCCATATCCCTATAGATTATTGTCTTTACTAGTGATAAGTATATGGTGGATGGGTTGGGAATCTGTCATAATGAATTTTATATAATGAACATATATATTATATTTATGTATATTTTATGGCTTTTTAAATAAGGGGTGCAGTGTTATATAAAAGAACAGTGGACCAGAACTAGTAGTAGACTTGGGTTCTGGTCTGATTTGCCAGTCAATACCCTTGTCTCTTTTAGCAAGTCACTCAATCTTCCTTTAGTTTTGTTGAGAGATTTGGATATAATTAGTCTATAATTTTGTCATTTTGGCTATAATCGATTTTTTAAAATGATTATAATCTTTTTCTTTGTGATATATTAAGGCTACTTTAATATGATGCTGAGATATGAGTGAAGAATAAAGGTCGAATTATTGTTCCAGTGAGAAAATATGATACATTTTATAATGGCATACTTTATTGGACAAGTTCTCCATTATGGTGACAAGTGGTCATATTTATTTAAAAGGGACCATGGGAGCTTAGTACGAATTTTTTATAAAGTAAATATTTACCTCTTTATCACATATAAATTTGGATGTTCTTAAATAGTTTAATTGCATATAGTTAAACCTATATTTATATTCTACATGTTCCAGTTTTATTTCTTTCATAAATATGACCTTTCATCTTTATAATTTTTAGGTTGAAGTTAAAAAACAAAAACATCGTATATTAAAATACTTTAAGAGTAAGTTATTTAGTACTCTCAGTTTTTTTTCTTTCTACTTCTGTGTAATCTATTTTTTTTTTCAGAGTGAAAAACTGTTGTTATATGATACAGTCCAGAGTGAACTGGAAGAGAAGATAAGAAGGCTTGAAGAAGACAGGCACAGCATTGATATCACCTCAGGTAATGGGAATGATGTGATTGTGATGTTTGATTCAAGTGATAATGAACCTTTGGTTTACTGTAGTGTCTCGTAATATCTTAGACTCCTAATATAAATGTGATGTAATGAAGTGTTCTAGTGAGAGGGAAACTGGAGACTTCTAAAGAATTTGATAAGATTGTGATTGTAGCTTTGATTTGAACTCAGACTTCAGAAAGAAGAAAATGGAGCACATGAAAAAAGACAAAATAGAAGTGTGACGGGAGCAATAAAAATAAGAATAATATAAAAATAGTAAGAATATTATTACAACATGAGAATAGTAGTGGAAGACAATAGGAATTGTCTTTGAAGACAGCTATCATATATTCTTCCAAGTCTTGAAAAATTGTCATGTGGAAGAAGGAATAAAACTCTTTTCTCTTTGACTAGGACAAATGAGTAGAAGTTACTAGGAGACAGATTTGTGTCTCAGAAAAAGGAAAAACTTGTTAATAATAATAATGTGAAATTGGCTTTTTCAGGTTTCCTCCACTGGGTGGAATATTTACTGGATTATCCTACAGTTCTTGCATATGTATTGTTTTCTTTGTTATAAATTCTTTTTCTCTTGTACAGAGTAGGCATAGTAGAGTCCGACAAACTGAGCTCTAATGCCACTACTTCGTTACCTACTAGTTTGGTAACCATGGGTGATAGTCACTTTAGTGTTTCTAACTTGGTCTCCTCGTCTGTAAAATTGAAGCAATGAGAATACCTACCTCAGAGATAGTTTGAGGATTAGTTGAGACAATTCATGTAATATGTATTTAACAAAGTTAATGTGTATTTGATGTATATTTATTAAGTGCCAAATTGATTTTTACTTTAATAAAGGCAGAGAAAAATTCATAAATACATAGCTGCTCATAAAATTATATATAGTCATATGTATATATACATAGCCACCAATGAAATTTTGCTACCTGAAATTATAGTGTTTTTTTCCTCTTTTGATCTCCAGAAATCAGCTAATGCTTAATTTTTATTTACTTGCCAGAGCTGTGGAATGATGAGCTTCAGTCAAGAAAAAAGAGGAAGGATCCTTTCAGTCCTGACAAAAAGAAGCCAGTTGTTGTTTCAGATATCCTTTTTCAAATTTAGGGTGTTTTTTTTTTTTTGCCTTGATGTACATTTTTGCACTGTGCATACCTTTCTAACTTTTATTAGTATACTTTATCTTTATTTGCAAGATCCTGTAATAAGCAAGAGATGATTTATGAAACTGATTAAAGGCAGATAGATTAAGGATTAAAGGCAGTTCAGCTTAAGAGGGTTAGGGGAAGAGTAAAAATTTAGTTACAATCTCAACTTCAAAAATTAATATGGCTTTATAGTTCCCAAGGGCTTTGATACGAAACATCTATTTAGTATATAGAATGATTGCTTAATTCTTGTGTACTTTTTAACACAAGAAGTTTTTAAGGTTTTTGAAGAATAATTTGAAGTCAGAAATTCAGCGTGCCAAGGGATTATGTCCAGAAATCATTGTTCCATTCTCTGAAAAACAGAACTTTGGAAGTATAATTTAAAGTGTGAAATTCTTCAGGTAAATTGACCTTGACTTTTCAACGCCCATATATAGTTTATATGCTACAAGATCTTGATATTCTTGAAGACTGGACAACAATTAGGAAGGTATGGTTAAAGAGGAGTGGAATACAAGTATATTTTTATAGTCTACTTTTAAAGATTCATGGTTTTTCACTAATACATCAACATATGATTATTGTAAATATGCTTTACTTTGCAACAGTCTCTAGGGCAATTAATACTAATACAGAAAACTGGATTGCAGGAGTATTTTAAGAGAGACATGTCAGCAGTTTGACCGTTTTTTCTTATAATAATATAGTTAATAATTTGTGCAAAAGTACAGAAAAGCATTTATTTAGGTTGCCCCCAAATAATAAATAACCAATTTGTGCCTAGCTCTTAACCTGGTTCTAGCTCACAGAAGGCACTCAATAAATATTGTTGGATAAATGAAAGTGAAAATTTGAACCTTTATTATTTTTCTTGCATTCTTCATTAAAGATTCAAGAATTCTAGGGTTTTCTATGCTTATTTGAAAGTGGAGACTCTTGTTTTCCTTAATAATATTTTCATTTTTAGAAACTTTTTAGTTGAGAATTATTTCAGGTATTGATAACATCTCCTGGAGAAATTGTTATTCTTTATATATATATTCCTTATGGTCTTAGACATTAACAACTTACTAGAACAGCTAAAGATTTTATTTTACTGTGTTACTGAGTTTATCAGTAGTCACTATATACATTAAATAGATGCTAAAATACACTTTGTAAACTCAGACAATGTCTTTTTTTTTTGATTAAGGCGATGGCTACACTGGGTCCACACAGAGTGAAAACAGAACGTAAGTCATTTAGTCTGAGTTAAATTTTCTTTATAGAAACTTGTTGAATCAGGGTTGTTGAATCAGGGTTGAAACCACTAAAGAGGTCCCCCATCACTGGTTTCATTCAATCAGTGAACTCTATACCTGGAATTACAAGGAATTCTAGAGTGTTTGTCCATGTAAAAGTTTGAAGATTTCTGAATGAAATGTGTTTCTTTCAGTGTTTCAGCTACATTACTATTGCTAATAATGGATGAGTAATTTAAAAATATTTATTGGGTTTCTTATGGATCCAGTAATTCTCTAGGGGAGATATTTGGAGGCTGCGGATTGCCTTCAGGGAGCCTGTGACTCCTCTGGAATTGTGAACAAAATTTCTTCTGTGCTAGCATTTTCTCTGAGAAAGATTAGAGCGCTGGCAGTGGAGTCCATAAAAAAATTTATACACCACTAAGAATTACTCATTCTGGTGTACCTTAGTAAAATTCATTTCAAATTTTATTTTCTTGACTTTTTTTGGAAGTCTAAAATCACTTCCAGAGTAGTGATGGACAGTGTTGTCTGGGTAACTCTGTGTCTGCCTTCTTTCGCCGTGCCTGAAATTTCCCAAGCCTCCTAAGAGCAATGAAGCTAGATTTTTTAAAAAAACATGTTTTAAATACTTAGAAGAGTCACAGTCTACAGATAAAATAATCTGTAAGATAGTAAATCATATTTTATATTTAACCTAAGGATTTCTTTAAACTTTATATCATGTCCTGAAATTGTAGCAATATTTGTACTAAACTACTTCCCTTAGGAATTAACTAGAAGGGTAACTACCTAAATCTTGAAGTTAACATTTTGAGTTATGGATTCTTTTGAGAATCTCACTATACTATTGAATGGGTCTCTTCTCCCACTCCTGTTATCTTTAGCATTGTGTCCTACTTGTTTTCTTCATGGCACTTACCACAATTTGTAATTTTTAATTTATTGGTTACATGTTTATCTGTCTCCTGACAGGACTTTAAGATCCACAAAGGTCAGAACCATATTTCTTTTAGTCACAGTGCTCAGAAAACATTTGATGAATGAATGAATGAAAGCTTATTGAGCACCTTCTACATACCAGATACTATTTGAGGCTCTAGGAATACCACGATGCAAGAGATGGACCTCTTGGAACTTGCTTGGGGAGGCAGAATAATATATATGAAAATAAGTAATTAACCAGATAATGACAAATTGTAATAATTGCTGTGAAGGAAATATGAAGTTGTGATGAAGATTAACCGAGGAGTGGGTAAGGTGGTTGGAGAAGACTTTTCTTAGGTGGTGACATTTGAACGATGAAGAGGGGCTTACTTCTTGGTATACTTTTGGCAATGTGCTTTCATAAAGAACATTTTTTTCTCTGCATTAATTTATCTGATTAATGCCAAACCATTTCTAGGATTTAAAAAGGGAAGTTCTACTTAGGACATTTCCTGTTTAGAATCAAAGGCCTGGGGAACTCTTGGAATATATATTAAACTCTGCTTCTTTGGAAGTGTCAGAAAGGGAGGAAAATATGAAAAATATTTTCAATGGAAACATGGCAATTGATATTTTAAATCCTACTTAAAATTGGCACTAGTAATTGATTTCCTGCTTCCCTTTCTGGCACTTGTCTATTTAATTGATGATTTAGTATATATTATTTAGCTCTGTTTAGTAGTTATAGTAACAATTTAGTGAATTATATTTAAAAAGTAAATTCTCTTCTATTAGATTTAGGTTTGTTATTTAAGAAATATTTTTAGTGTTTTTTTTTCACATATATGCATAGATTGGTGTTCTTAATATTCTGTACTGTTGTTCTGACAATGTCTTAGTAATATAATGGTTTTTGAACTGATCCCTTTAGCACCTGTGAAACTGGAAAAACATCTGCACAGTGCTAGATCTGAAGAGGGAAGATTATATTATGATGGTGAATGGTATATACGTGGACAAACAATATGTATTGACAAAAAGGATGAATGTCCTACAAGGTAAAAAGTCTTTATCATTTTAGTGTTTCTCAATATTAGAGTTGACAACATTGTTGATAAATATTTGGTGCCTCCATCGTGTGTTCATAATGCATCACTAGTTGCTTGTGGATCCTTTTCTCTTGACATGTGATTTATCAGTGTGGTGTGTGTATATATATATATGTATATGTATGTATGTGTGTGTGCGTGTGTGTGGTTGTGTATCAGTGTTAAAATTTATATACCAGAGGTACATGTTAATCATGAGCACAAGTATTAACACTAGTGGAAATTTTGGAACTACTTAGCTGGGGAAGAGATCCTGTTTGTTAATTCTTATAGAAAATGACTTTTATGATACTAATATTATGATCTTTAAACCACAGTGTTATGAATTTGACAGTGTGCCTCCATGATGTATAGACCTGTTAATCCTTCACTTTTTTGGTATGTGACAGTATTTTGGATAAAAAGAATTTGGATTAATTAGAGTAGGAAAGGAATGGAAAATTAATGAAAACTTTTAAGAGTCACAGTAATTAAAGTACAACTTGAAAACTGAAAATTTCCTTTTAAAAAACTTAATCTGTCTAGGCTTAAAGTTTATATAATTAAAATAATTTTAAAATTTATATATTTATATAGCCTAAGTGTTATCTCATTGTGGCCTTTGAAAAATATTAATGTTAATCACTGCTTAATTCCTTCAATAGTTTAGGATATAATTCTCAAGAGTAGTAACTTTCTACATTAAGAAAATATCTTTCTGGGTATCAGTGGTAAGTAAAGTGTTTGCGTTTAGTATAGAATACTCATTTTCCAAATACAGTGGTTTTAATTGGATTGTAATTCCATCTTCAAATTTTTAGGATACCAGGAGCATTGCATATAGTAACTTCTCATAGAAGCTCACTGAACTAATTCCTAAATTATATATCATACCCTTGAATTCTTGGCTTTATTGTACTGCTTTTGAAGCATTTTACTACTAGTTAACATAAATGTCAAAAAGATGAAATAGCATAGAAGAGGACTAGATACAAATCTGTTTTTAAAGAGATTTCTACATGAAGATTAATAGTGTCCAAAAATATCTGTACAAATACCATAGATGCTTGACCCTGGGAGTTAGGGATTGGTATTTGAAAGATTTTCTACAGCCGAGACTGATATGAATTGGAGATATAATACCATATAAGTAGTGGTTTTAGCTCCATTCTGTGTTTTTTGGGGATGTGGGTTGGGGATGGAGTAGGAATGTTGTGCATTTAGTAGTTCTAATAGTAAATTTTACCAATTCTAATAACAAAAGAAAGACAATTATTAAGTGTTGCTGAATGATATTTTTGACCAACATACCCAGCTGATAGCATTCTGTTAAAAGGCAATTACATAGCTGAATCTACTCTCATAGTCCAGCTATTTTGGTTTTATAGCTAGTACTCTGAAATGAGTAGAGGAGTCATATTGTAATTCATTCATTCCTTTTTCTTCTTCTTTTTTTTTTAATTCTTTTTAGTGCCATAATTACAACAATTAACCATGATGAAGTTTGGTTTAAGAGGCCTGATGGAAGCAAATCTAAGCTTTACATTTCACAGCTACAGAAAGGAAAATATTCAATTAAACATTCGTAATCATCATTTAAGTGTTATCTAAATCTACCTTATTAGTGTTACGAAGTGTGACGTGCCATGGGAGTAAAAAATGTATTCAATAACTTAATATTCTCATTGAATCATGAGAGACTGTATTTGTAGGTAGTACTCTAAGTAGACTTCATACTGATATGTTATTAAAAGAGACAGTAAAAAAGTGTAATCATGATCATTACATTTGTTTGCCTTTTAGGTCCGTTGACCAATAGGTGTATGGTAGGGGTTTCTTACTAAACTTTTTTCTTGGTTTTAATGCAGATCTCTGTTTAGTGAACTATGTTGCTAAATGGCTACTTTTATCTGCATTTTATTTTTCCATATCTGTGTCATTCATCAGGTGTTTGTAAATAAGCCTCATAAAATGTTTCCTATAAATGGTTTGTACTAGTACATTAGTGTTTAATCGGAATTGAAATTTAAACATATATGTGAGTATGTATATATGGCATCATCAGCTTATTTAGAACTGATGGCCTTACTTTACAATCTTGTTTTACCCAAAATTATGCTATTGGGTTTGAAAGCTAAAAGGAGCACTTTTGTAGACTAGCAGCTTTCTTTCTCCTCTTCCTTGATTGTATGGTGGTGACCTATTTTTACAAATTATACTTAATGTTAATTAGTAAAATTAGTGTCAAGTAATAACATGCTTCTACCTGTATTTCTTGTGAATCTTTAGAGGGCAGGTATTTATGCCTGGTATTTATGATACAGTATATATAAGTGGTGAACAGTAACTGACAGTATTGTGGTGCTTGCTGTATATGTCTGATCTTTTGAAACAGATTTTTAGTAAGCATTTTCCAGAGGTAAAACTAGGTTCTTATCCTAATTTTATTGCTAAGACAAAATAGACAGGGATAATTTCCTTGAATCTGTTCTCAAATGAATAATTTTATCTTTGGTGTTTCTACACTTTAAAGCCACTCAGTGCAATTTAGAAAATACTGGCCTCTTTTCCTCAGCCACATTCAAAATTAAATTCTAAAACCTCAGGAATAGTACAAAGAATCGAAACCCTCAATATGGCAGCACAGTGGCTGTAGTATATATTAGGGTACAACCAAATCAAGTACTCCTGGTGGTCTTGTGCACTTTAACTTCTGTTAGAATGAGACTCAAGAGGACGAAGAAGAGATCTACTTACGAATAACACTTAGGGCAGGAATATGTGCATCATTCCGTTTCTTACTATTTTTACCTCTGCAAACATCTTCCTGTGCAGATCACTACTTCACAGTTGCCAAATGTTAAAAAATTTGACTTCTGAAATTCATTATCAGCAAATTTATGTACTTTGTTCTGTTTCTAATTCACGGTTAGCAAATGTATATAATGTCATAATCTAATAGTATTTGGCAGTTCTTATGTATACAATGTTTCATAAGCATTTTTAATAAGATTTGTATTTTTAAATTTAGTATATAATAAAAAGATGTGTTTGAGTGTCATTTGTAATGTCTTGAATTACTTGTGCATAAGTTCTTTTATTATTTATAACCTATTTCTAAGGAGGATTTGAGCCAATTTACATTAATAGATATGGAGGGTCAAACAAATGTTTCTGTTCTCCTAAACTACGGTTCAGCCTCTATTGAGGATATATTTAGAAATTTAAGACAGTTAAGTTATACTTAATTTAAAAATGTACATAAATGTTATACTTTAATAAAAATGTAGAGTGTAAGTGCTGAAATCCTAAATAGAAAGTTTTTAATTTAAAAACTATGATTTCGCACATTTACTTTCAAAACTATTATATATAACTGTTTCATAATACCGATATTGATTCACATAAGCACATGCTCATCTATGATTAAAGTACTGTAAAATATATTTTGTTATTGGCAGTTTGCCATTAGACTTCTGGTCAAAAGGTTTAGTTTAGGGGGATTGTTAGAATATGTGAAGTATGATGCAGTAGCTGCTGCTACTGCTGATGCTATTATGTTTATTGATCAGCCTGTGTCTTAGGGTCAATTTAAGGGCCTTTCCTGTCCCAGTATTTCCCGGTCAGTCCACCCCCTTCCTGCTATGTCCCATTAAAAAAAAAAAAAAAAAGGTAAAGAATTCTATCATCACTAATCCAATTTATTACTAACAAGCATTATTGGTACACTCCTCACTCTGTATCTGTCCTCACTGTTTGTTTTGGTCTGCCGGTCACCAGGTATTTTTCATTGCACCCTTCATGTAAAAGTTATTCTAAGATATCGTTACTCAGAACTCAAATAGCACTGACTGAACCATGTACACCTCATTGATAATTATTAAAAAAAAGGGACACTGGCTATTATTTCTAATATTTTGTTTTTGGATCCAATAAGTCCTGCACACTAAAACTGAACTAAAGTGAAATTATAAGGAAAATGGATGTAGGATGAATAAATAGACTAATTAGAATTTATGTAGTCTCTTGTGAAATTGGAATGTAAACTATTTTAATTGCTAAAGATAAGGAAATCTAAAATACTTTTAAAAGAACATGAAAGCTTAGAATGGGGTTAGAGAAAATACTTTTATTGTCTTCATGGATGAACTACAGGAATTGTGGCTTGTATATCAGGTAGTATTAACTGAGGCAGTTTCCTGCTTTGGTTGCTGTGGCCCAGAGTCTTTCCCTTTACTTCATAGGCCCAGAAACTTGAATTTTATATGTTCTGTTATAGGCTGAATTGTGTCTCCCCCAAATTCATACATTGAAGCCATCACCCTTGGTACCTTAGAATGTGACTATATTTGCAGATAGTGCCTTGAAAGAGGTGATTAAGTTAAAATGAGGCTGTTAGATTGGGCCCTAATCTAATCTGATGTCCTTACAAAGAAGAGAAATTTGGACACCAGATATGTATGCACACAGAGGAAAGACCATGTGAGGACACAGCAGAAAGTCAAGGAAAGAGACCTCAGAAGAAACCAAATCTGCTGACACCTTGATCCTGCGCTTCTAACCTCCAGAACTGTGAGAAAATAAGTTTCTGTTGGTTAAGCCACCCAGTCAGTGATATTATGTTATGGCAGCCCTAGCAAATTAATACATACCCCAAGGTGACAGCTCTGGGGAAATTAGACTGACCAACTCACAGAGGATTGAAATGATAGCCGAGTGTCAATAATTTACATTGGGATGTATAACTGAGGAGAGCTGAATGCTCAAGTTAACTAGTTGGCACATTCCATCCTTTTAGGGAAATCTATGTGAAAGCAAACTTGTCATCAGAAGATTCCTTTGTTTTGGTGAAACTTCAGTCCTCTGGTGAGGATACCTCCTTCCTGGTATTGTGCTGGACACATTGCTATAATCTTACTCATCACTGTGTTTCTTGGTGACTTGCTGACCAAGGTCTCTTTTCTGTCAATGTGCTATACAGGCCTTGCCCACAGCTCCCTCTTAAGTTCTTCCTAAACCATGTGCTTTGCTATTTTGGCCAGTTTATTGAACCAGTGTGTCCCCTGACTCACGGGTAGCCAGTGATAATAATACTTAAAACTTGAGGGCTTGCCATGTGCTAGGAACTATTTTAACGTATAAATGAAAAGTCATTATCTCATATTTTTCATGGTCAAAACAATGAACATAAATGTAAGCATTTTGATATGTTTATATACATTAGGGCTTTCTGGTCATAATGTTTTTCTCAAGATATGAAAGGCAAAATACTGTGGCAGTACTTATATTTTGAGTGTTTTAAAGGTGAGTTGATTATATCTCAAGTTGCTAATCTTTCTGAAAATTGTGTATTATATCTATCTATCATCTGTCTGTCTATCTACCTATTTACCTATTTATCATCTATCAATCAACCTACCTACCTACCTACCTATCTATCATCCATCTGTCTATTTATCAGCTATCTAAAAAAGCAGCTATATGTCTAAAATTTCTCTGCTTCTAAACTGGAAGCTAATGTATTTTCTTTCAAAGATGCATTTTGTTATTAAAGGAAGGTCAAAGGAAGAAGATAGTAACAGTCTTTAAAGTTCATTTTTCTTGTATCTAGCATAGGTTTAAGGTGGATGACCTTGGTAGGAGACTTGCATTCTCCTGAAAAGAGAAATGCCATAATTCTAGTACAGAAGTAGGCCCCATTTCATCTCTGCTAGTAAAGAATATAATTTCTGTTAAACTGCTTGGAAAACCAGGTATTTAAGCAGAAGCTAAATGACATCTGCTATTAGAAGGTTGTTGAAAGAAATACATTTCATTTATTATTGAAAGAATTTGAAAATGTAATTGTTAATGGCAAAGGTAGTAAAGTGCTTTTACTTATGATAAATTTATAATTTCAGTATATTTAAGTACATTGATGGATAATTTATTAAGGAAAACTGATTTAAAAAAATAAAAGCCTTCAGACGCTTTAAATTATTGACTACAGCAAGTTCTAGCTGGAGTAATCAGGCAAGAGAAAGGAATAAAAGGTATCCAAATAGGGAATGAAGAAGCCAAATTGTTACTTTTTGCAGATGACATGATTCTCTATATAGAAAATTCTAAAGACTTTACTGAAAAACTGTTAGAAATAATAAATACAGTAAAGTTTCAGGATATAAAATCATTGTACTAAAATTCATAGCATTCCTATATTCTAACTGAATTGTCAGAAAAATGAAAAAAACATTTTCTTTTGCAATTGCAATATAAAGAATAAACTACCTACGAGTAAATCTAATGAAGCATGTGAAGGACCTATACACTGAAAAATCTAAGACATTATTAAAAGCAATTGAAGAAGATACAAAGAAATGGAATCATATTTCGTGTTCATGGATTGGAAGAATCAACATAGTTAAATTGACCTTATTGCATAAAGCATTATACAGATTTAATGCGATCCCCATCAAAATTCCAACAGCATTCTTTAAAGAAATAAAACAAAAAATCAGACTTGCATGGAAACACAAAATACCCTAATAGCCAAAGCCATCCTGAGAAAGAACAAGACAGGAGGTATCATTCTGCTTGACTTCAAATTATACTACAAAGCGTCAATAATCAAAACAGCATGGTATTGACAGAAAAACACACACGGATCAATGGAATAGAATTGAGAGTCTAGAAATAAACCCCTGTATATGTGGGCAAATAATTTTTGACAAAGGAGCCAAAAACATAATGGAGAAAGGAAAGCCTCTTTAATAAATGGTGCTGGGAAAATTGGAAAGCCACGTGCAAAAGAATGAAACTACATGGTTTCATTCATCTATGCTATCTACTATCTGTCACCACACACCAAAATTAGCTGAAAATGGATCAAAGACCTAAATGTAAAACCTGAAACAATAAATTGCACAGAAGAAAATGTAGGTACTAAAATAGACGTTGGTCTTAAAGAGGATTTTATGAATTTGACCTCAAAGGCAAGTTAAGTAAAAGCAAAAATGAACGGGACTATATCAAACCAAAAAGCTTCTGCACAGCCAAAGAAATCATCAATAAGACAAAGAGGCAACCATCCGAATGGGAGAAGATATTTGCAAACAACACCTCCAATAAGGGCCTAACATCCAAAATATATAAAGAACTTATACAACTCAATAATGCAAAAATGGGCAGAGGACCTAAACAGACACTTCTCCCAAGAAAACATACAAACAGCCAACAGACGTGAAAACATGCTCAACTTCACCAGCTATTAGGGAAATGCAAATCAAAACCACAATGAGATATCACCTCACATCTGTTAGAATGGCTATCAGCAACAGGAAAGGAATAACAAGTGTTGAGGAGGTTGTGGTGAAAGGAACCCTTATACACTGCTGGTGGGAATGCGAATTGGTACGGCCACTGTGGAAAACAGTGTGGAGGTTCCTCAAAAAACTAAGAATAGAATTACCATATTTACCCCCAAAAACTTGAAAACATTTATCTGTATAGTTATATGCACCCCGATATTTATAGGAGCGTTATTCATGGTGGCCAAGATATGGAAACAACCAAAGTGCTCTTCGATCGATGATTGGATAAAGAAGATGTGGTGCATATATACAGTGGAATATTAGTCATAAGAAAAGGTGAAATACTTCCATTTGTGACAACATAAATGGATCTAGAGATTATCGTAGGTGAAATTAGTCGGACAGAAAAAGTTGAGAACCATATAATTTCACTCATGTGGGATATAAAACTGAAAGCAACAAACAGGACAAACAGAATCATGGACTGGGACAGCAGATTAATGGTTACCAGAGGGAAGTGGGGAGGGAAGAGGTGGGGTATAGGGGGTTATATATTTGGTGACAGAAGGAAATTTAATGTTGGGTGGTGAACACAATGCAATAAACATGACATATGATTGAATGGTACACTTGAAATGTATTTGATTTTATTAACCAATGTCACCGATAGTTTTAATTAAAAGAAAATCTTTGTCTAAATTATTGACAACAGCAGTTTTTGATTTGAAGCTTATACACTGTGGTGTTAACTTATATTTTATCAATGTACTTA